AGAAAGTATATTTTGTACACAACATATTGAAAATATTCTTCACACTCGATGAACTTGTGACGTTCCATTTCTCATATTTCCTTTCTCTGTTCTGTGCTTTTTTAGGAAATAAGCGTGTCCCAGCTCATCGATTAGTACTCAGTGCTGGCTCTGAATATTTTGCTACCATGTTCACAAGCTCTTTGCGAGAGTCGGCACAAAATGAAATAGAATTAATGGATGTTGATGGAGATGCTTTATGGGCTTTGGTTCTTTATTGTTATACAGGTAATTCTGCTTGAGAAGATATGTTTCACGTAAGAAAACATTTCACGAATATTAACATTACGATAAAGGCATTTGCAGATATTTTTTTTAAGCCGTTTTTGTTGATTTTTGGACTTGTCAATTCTTAATATCATGTTTTTTTTGTATACTTGCAGGTTGCATAGAATTGCAGGAAGATAACGTAGAGTCTCTACTTGCAACAGCATGTTTGTTACAATTGAATCCAGTTATTAAAGCGTGCTGCCAGTTTCTCGTCAAACAACTTCACCCAAGCAACTGTCTGGGCATATGGATGTTCGCCGATATGCGAACTGGGCATAAGGATTGTTCGGAATTGGTTGAATACGCACACGCATACACTGCTAAACATTTCAGGGAAGTTACAAAAAATCAAGAATTCTTACTGCTATCTGCCAATGAAGTTGCGAAGTTACTTGAGTCTGAGGATCTTAATGTTCCCTTGGAAGAAACTATCTTTCATGTAAGACAACTGTTTGTTGAACGAACCAATTCATGCAAATGCAATTAAAATACCTAAGCTGGAGATACAGAATAAATAGAATCATTGTTTTATTATTATTTCAGGCACTAGTGACTTGGCTGGAACACGATCCAGAAAACAGGAGCAAAGATGCCAGTAAATTATTAGGTTTAGTCAAATTACCATTGCTATCACCCGCGGTAAGTTCATCGGCAGCTCAATTTTTTCACTCGACAGAACTTGTGCATTAGCACTAATAAATCAAAACAGTTTATAGCTGATAATATTGAGAGTAACGAAATGTTCAAAGACCAAAGAATGGCGCAGGAATTAGTAATTGAAGCATTTAAGTATCATTTGCTGCCTGAGCGAAGATCTTTGCTTCAAACAGGCAGAACGAAACCCAGAAAAGCCACTATGGGTACGTTGTTAGCTATCGGATGGATGGGCTACAATAAAGGTAATTTATTATATTTAAAATGAATTATTTAATATTAATCGCATAACTGATAATTAATCGATCACGATTAATGTAAAGAAAATATATTATGCCAATATTGTCGCACTATTTTAGTTTTTCCAAGCAAAATAATTTGCGACGTACTTTCTAGGTGCACCATTTGTAGATGCATTTTCATTACACGATAATGCCTGGCGATCTCTAGATGAATTTTGCGATAAACGCTGGTCATCTGTATCACTCATAAGCCATAAATTTCAATCTGGCGCAGTAGTAGTCGATAAAAAATTGATTTGCGCATTAGCATACACAGTAGAATGCTTCGATTTCTCCACTCTTAGGTGGAGCATTCTACCATCTATGAATTGTTCTCGAAGAGGATCAGGTATGTGCAAATGCATGAGAATTTGCAAAATTAATGTGCAATTTATTTCATTTATTCATAATCAAACCCTGGCAAATACGTTATAATATTCTTTTTTAGGAGTGGCAGTTTTAGGTGGATTTTTATATGCTGTTGGTGGTCACGACGGTGGTCATTGTTATCTTAATATGGTAGAGAGATGGGATCCGGGAACAGGTCAGTGGAGTTCAATATGTCCTATGTCCGTACAAAGATTTGGAGTCGGTGTAGCTGTGTTAAATGATAAGTAAGTCTTTACAGATAAATTATTATGTCATATCTGTTTTCAATCATTTTAATTTCCTTTTTAGTGCGTGTCTTCGTATAAATATTATTTTATTAACTTTAAATCTTATTAAATATTAAATTTTTTTAAATAACGTTGATATTAAATTTTTTATGATGTTTTAGATTGTATGTCGTAGGAGGAAGAGATATCTGTTTCTGCTTAGATACGGTAGAATGTTACGATCCGCACACGAACAAATGGACACTGTGCGCACCTATGTCGAAGAGACGAGGCGGCGTAGGCGTAGGAGTAGTGAATGGTTGTCTTTATGCACTCGGTGGTTACGACACTTCAGCTAGCAATACTAGGAGATTGGACTGCGTAGAAAGGTATAAAGCCGCTGTTACATTATATGTTAAAACTTTCAAGTTACATATAATGCGATGTAACAATATAGATATGATCCTAAAACCGATACGTGGACTATGGTTGCGCCAATGAGTGTGCCCCGGGATTCAGTTGGTGTGTGCGAATTAGGTGATCGACTTATGGCCGTGGGAGGAAACGACGGCCATCAATATCTCACACTAGTGGAAGCCTACGATCCATATCTCAACGAATGGGAACCTGTGAGTGTATAAACTATTCCTGTAATTGAATATGGTAAATAGAAATAATTGTAAATGTATTTTGTAAACTTAAACATTTTTATGTTTATAGGTTGCTCCTCTTAACGCTGGCCGTTCGGGACCCTGTGTTGTTGTAAAAAATTTAACCAACAGCATGTAGATTATTTTTACTAAACGATCAGTAATTGGACTTGCTAATTATGCAATTTATATTTGTAATTGCATATGATTTAGGTGTTTCAAAATTAAATTTCAGAGAGAAAAAGAGAGAAGCGATAAAAAAGTTCAAGAGATTCAGGTACAAAGAACGAAATCTAAAGAAACACAACGTAATGCAGGAAATGTAACACAATATAATCCAATTGTGATATAATTGTAAAAAATAAACTTCTAATAGCGATTTTATTCGCACTTGTGCTATTTTTTATTTACCGCATCATGCTAAACACTGCACATGAAGTCATAATGAGCGCTTTAACGAGCATTTTGACCGATTGAGATGCTCAATGCTAATATTATCACATTTTTTGCGACATATCTATTAAATATTAAAACTAAAAAACTGATTATATCATGCTTTTACATTTAAATATATAATTGTCTTTATATATATACGCAGTATGGTTCGTCTTTATTGAATATACTCACTAGTATTTGACGCACGACAATTCAAAAAATGAAATGATTTTCTCATACTATGATTCCATGAAGGAAAAAGAAAGCAAATTGCACATGATTGAGTTGCATTTAATTACGAAACAAGTTTTTAAAAAATATTCAATACATAATAGTCATAAAAATTCTATAAAAAAAGCAATGGTCTAGACATATTCTTTACTTTGCGGTTTTTCCAATTTTGAGCGCTTCCTGCGCCATAGTTATTGCGCCATCCTTAGTTTTGTGACCCCCTCGATACCTATTGAAAAACACAAATAAAGCGCCTTTAATTCCACAGGCTTCCTCAAGAGCCGAATCGATCCTCTACAGCTTTTCGCACGTTGACTATAATAATGGCAAGTAGACGGTCTTTATATACGTCTTGTACAATTTCTAAAAATTCCTTTTGAGCCAAAGCCACGGCTTTCAAAAACCGTTTTTTTTTTATCTTCATCTTCTTTATTACACAATATTACTTTTTGCATGCGCGCACAGTAACATTCTTGACCCCTGAAACAAATGTAAGTAAAATAATTTTGGTAAAGCATACTCCGCAGTATGCAACATCCCCACCAAGAAATGACCCATCCAAACGACGTTTAATTGACGTCTTTCGACGTCAACTAGACGTCGATTTGATGGGTCATTTCTCACTGGGTCACAAGCAATGGCTCTGTATCGTACTCATTCATTTCATGAATTTCATCAATTTTCGTAATTAATTTTTTGTTCACGAATTTATACATTTCGTTGATCAGTGTATCGTCCTTTTTTATGTCCGGAAGTACATTCCTCAATATCTCGTGACCGAAATCGTGGTAGATCACACCCGCATTGTTTAGTCTTATTTCGCCTATAACATCCCGCCTTGGTCGTTTAGTACTCGGCGCCGGCGATAGGAATCTGCTAATGAAAAAGAATAAATAACGGTGTAGCAAAAACAGAGATTTTTCTTTATATGATAACGCATATAATTAAATAGTACAAATATACTTCATACTGGTGGCCATGGTATGATCATATCGATCAGGATCATATTCTCTGATGTTACATCGCCCACAATTACATTACATTCAGCAAATAATAGATGTCGGAATTCTCTAAAAATTTAATTGTATATTAATTAGGATGTTAAAATTCATCCTCTAAACACTCCTCTACCTCGCGAGGTGCTCCTCTACCTCGATACGTGGCTTAAAATTTAAATTAAATATAACTCTCGCGAGCCTGCAGAAGAACAAACTGCCACGATACGTGGCTTAAAATGTAAATTAAATATAACTCTCGCGAGCCTGAAAATAATGACTAAAACTTTGTTACGTGCAATGGCCTATACTGTCTTGAATTCTTTGATGAAAATGCGACGATCGTGGTAATCTAGCGTTAAATGCAGATTTAAAAACTTTTCTTATGGCTAGAATGAATCAAGCAAATGTTTCAGATACGTGATTCTGATAAAAAAGATAATTTATCATCGCATTTTATATATTTGTCAGTAGTAATTCAAATTCTCCGCCTCTGTCAAACGTATGGCCGATCAAAGCACCAATCACAAGTTGTCTGAACAGCGTTCAAATTGGTCGCGTTCAGCAGACCAAGCCATGAGCAGTCGAACGTGATTGGCTCTTACTTTTAGAACCAACCAATCAACGCAGAGTGTTAATAAGACGAACTCAACAGTTGTGCAACAGTTGTGTCTAAGTCGCTGAGTAGCAGTCGAACGTGATTGGCTCTTACTTTTAGAACCTACGAATCAACGCAGAGTGTTGATAAGACGAACTCAACAGTTGTGTCTGCTGAACGCGGCCATTCTCACCTGAAAAACTCTAGACTTTCCATTTCATATTTCATGCCGCGTTCGATCTCTCCCTCTCCCTAGTATCTCCGTTCTCCGTCGCTCATCCTTCCTCATCCTTCCTGGAGCCCTAGATTACGTCGCCGGTTTGTTGCGTGTAATTTTGCAGCGTAATTTTTCGAAATGGCGCAAAATAAATTCAGTGAGATGGCCTCACGCTTCGGCAAGGGCACGAATGGAGTGCCGATGAGCCTGAAAGTTCTCGCCGCCACGGGCGTTGCGGCCTACAGCGTTTCTAAAGCCATGTATACAGGTTAACCTCAATCTCGCTTTCATTTTTACTGCTACGCGTGATAATTACTGCTAAACATTGTCTCTTTTGAATAAACGATAACTTTAAACGCCAGTTCAATCAACGGACGATGTTACCCAGATTTACATTATCTTGTCCAGCAGATATCCCCTCTGTCGTCATTACAAGTGTTTCTGATTATGTAATTTACGCTGTAACTGATGCAATTTAAATACATTTATGCGATACATACTTGTTTAGTCTTTTTTTCTTTATACAACAGAGACTATTCTTATTTTGTATTTTTATTGCTAATATCTTTACAAAGCTACCTTTATATCGCAAAAAAGTTACTGAATTTTCTTGCAGCGTAAAACTCCTAAGAGAGTCTCATTTTGAACAAGTCAAGGATATTAAAACGGTGAAGAATAATCGGGGTTTTTTAAAGGATGGATTATAAGAAGAAATTAAATTTATGGATTTCAGTGGAGGCTGGTCACAGAGCGATCATGTTCTCTCGACTAGGAGGTATCCAGAAGGATATCATGACCGAAGGTCTGCACTTCCGCGTTCCGTGGTTTCAATACCCGATAATTTACGATATTAGGAGCAGACCTAGGAAGCTGTCCTCGCCCACAGGATCTAAAGACTTGCAAATGGTCAATATCTCGCTACGTGTTCTCTCACGTCCCGACGCCAGCACGCTGCCTTCCATGTATCGGCAACTGGGTCTCGATTATGACGAAAAGGTTCTCGGAACGACTATATACAAGAATTTTGATCCCTCGAGTACAAAATGAAATCTCTAAATATGATTAAAATTTAGGTGTTTAGATATTTTAGATTTAGATAATTAGATGATTTAGATGTTTAATTTTCATGTGGTATACGTTCTCTCCACAAGCACATGGTTCTAATTCCAAATTTTCAAAAGTAATACAATCAAAAGCTATATATGCAAGTTTCTATTTAGTAAACGTTATACACCAAAGTTTAGAACATGAACGTGATATCATCGTAGATTTGAAACTAAATCAAAATTAATAAACCAGGTGCTGCCAAGCATTTGCAATGAGGTGCTGAAATCTGTTGTCGCTAAATTCAACGCCTCGCAACTGATCACGCAAAGACAGCAGGTGTCTAACATGGTGCGTAAGGAATTAACGGAACGTGCTCGAGACTTCAACATTGTTTTGGACGACGTCTCGATAACGGAGCTCAGTTTCGGCAAGGAATACACCGCCGCGGTCGAGGCTAAACAAGTGGCACAACAAGAGGCCCAACGTGCCGCATTTGTTGTGGAAAGGGCCAAGCAGGAACGACAACAAAAAATCGTGCAAGCCGAAGGAGAGGCAGAGGCAGCCAAAATGATATCCTTTAAAGAAACTTTTTTTTTCAAGTTAATTTATAATGCAATCACGTGTGTTCTATTAATCGGATGAAACACGTGCCGCGGTTATGAATGTATTGAAAAATACAGTTAAAACTATAACGTTTTCTTTCCTTTGTAATTGTTACAAGACTTCGTGTCAAACGGTTAAGGTTTACAAGTGAACTACTGATTTGAGTATATGATTAACGTAATAATTTATAAATACAATGATAATACTGCGTTTGAAATATATAAATGCCTTAACTGCAGTGTACCTTGGCTTAGCTGTCGGCGAGAATCCTGGATACCTGAAGCTGCGTAAAATACGGGCGGCACAGACTATCTCTCGTACGGTGAGCATCTTCATACGGCTTCGTTATAAACGTGCAAACAATGTTGATGTTTTAAAAGATGTAATGAAGTTCTTTGTAATATTCCATGTCAAGATTAATATTTCATATACTTGAAAAATTGTTAAACAATACTATATTTATATATACATAAATGTTGTTCGTTTTATTTCAGATCGCCAACTCTCAGAATAGAGTATTCCTCAGTGGCAATGGTCTGATGCTAAATATTCAAGATCCTGCGTTTGATGTGGCCTCGGATAAGCTGAAAAGTAAGAAGTAAAAATCGTCAAAGTGCGCGTCATTTTTTTAATCTCTTCTCTCGAGTTAAGTTTTTATTGAGCCTGGAGAACATTGGCTTATGTACAATTATGTTGAAATACTGTGAATAAGATACATCATGTGTTTCGAACGCACGGATTACATATATTTTCCCATCACACTGCGCTCTCCTTTTCGCCGTCCTCGTGATCATGGTCGCAGATATCTGCTAGTTTCACCATTGCATGTACTAAATTAATTGAATATGTCGGCATCTTGTGCGAAATAGGGTAAAATTAATTGTTCTTTGGTCAAAAAGGTAATCATTGAGATCGTTGAGATGCTGAATAATTATACCAGATTGTTAAAAATCTTACAAGTAAATGAAAATTAAGAAAATGTTACCAGTTTGCAGACTGTCAAGATCGGTATATTTAAGAATAAAACCTTGTACCAGAAAATTATTTATATTTTTTTTCGCAAGCTCTCCCCTTTGACAATTTTTGAAACCTTTCTATAAAGAAAACAAAATTTTTTTAGTGCGCAGAAAGAAAAGTGAGCGCATAAAAAGAGATAAATTTAAGATTCGGTAAATGGATTAGGAATATAATCCAATCATATGGCAAACTAATAAAATTCATAGAGACGTATCTAATAATTGGTAACGGGTACTCCGAGTTTGTCGCGCATAGGCTACACATAGACGCCCAATACTGGCTTTTTCAGGTCACATGGGAGTGAGCTGGAAGAGCTGGGACGAGGCCGCCGACCGCGCAGTTCGGAGCCTGAATACCAGTTCCCACCAGGCACTGCCGAATGCCGAAAGGTCCGGTATCAAGACACCAGTACCTTCCGTCGTCCCATCCCTTCTGGAATCGGCTGACGATAGCGCAAAGCTGATAGTACCATTACGATAAGAGAGTTTACAATGCAAGCTTGTCCCCGCCAAACACAAGTCCCCTTTGTCCGCTGTCCTGTTGAAGATCATTGCCCTTTTGCGTACGTTTTTATGACTGCTGATGATAGGATAAGTGATACAATTGTGATATCTCGTTAGAGATGTTCATATGTTCATCTTGAATATACTTTTCTGCACTTTTTTGAAAATAAAATATACTCAAAGGCGGGAGAGAAAAGACAAAGGATAAGATAAGATCGGAATGTAAAGCAGAGATAAATAGACATGTTAAGATAAATGATGTTAGAAAAAACGGTTTTAATTGAGGAGTACGATTTTCATGTCGCTTTTTTATTCTTTTTCTTCTTCAAGCTATAAATTTTCTATGAATCTGTATATTGTATACGTATCATAATTGCACTAAATTTAAATGTCAATGACTTTAGGTGTTTAGTATTGGTGATGTAGTCATTTTATCGTTTATTCTCATCATGAAAGAATAATAATAGTAATAAAAATATAAAGAGCGTGAAGAGGAAATATTAAGTGTTAATAAAAGAAATTAATTATAAAATATTAACATGCAATGTCATAGTAAATTATTGTTACTGTGGTTCGCATAGGCACCGTCAAAGCTGCTTATAAAAGTTTTTTAATTAAATTTTAGCGGTAATCTTAGGATTTAACAAATGAAAATCTTATGTAATATTTTATTATACCTTCGTTGCGTGTGACAATCCTCAGCGAGCTCGTTCTCGTCGCTGTACGCGGTCTTCAGCTTGAACGGTACTTGGTTTTTTTCCTCGTCTCTGTCACGTTCACGTTCACGAGCTGTTGGATCATCTACCTAGGGTACTTTTGTTGATATGTCTTATATGTCGTATTCGTATTTTATGTGGAAAAACAAGCAATTATCTGAGAGGCAGAGGTCGAAGTGTGACGTCCCTTATACGCGGGAGCGCACATGAATGAGACACGCAAACACATTTTACTATTGCATTCATTTATTTTCTTATGTTCTACTGTAATACTGTAATAACATACAAGAAATGCACTTTAATGAAACCTACAGAAGAGAATCTGAATATAAAGTCAGACACTTAACATCGCCTCGCGGCATCTCGCTCTCGTGTCCGCATATAACAAACGTGTGCTTTTTTTTCACCTCAACAAACGCAAACATAGTTTCCGTCGGTTATTTTTATTTCGATCGATATAAGCGATTCGTACGACGACAATCGATTCATCCTCCCTCGCTTCCTCTCACTCACTCACGCATTTACTCCTCGACAAACGCAAAACGGTAGTTTCCGTCGGTTATTTTTATTTCGATCGATATAAGATTATAAGCGATTCGTACGACGACAACCGATTTCGTCCTCCCTCGCTTTCTCACTCACTCACTCACATTTACTCCTCAACAAAACCAAAGATACAGTTTCCGTCAGTAATTTTATTTCGATCGATATAAGCGATTCGCGTGAGGACAATCGATTCATCCTTCCTCATTCACTCCTCAACACAAACGCAAACGTAGTTCCCGTCAGTTATATTATTTCGCATCGATATAAGGGATTCGTATGACGACAATTCGATTCGTCCTCCCTCGCTTCCACACTCACTCAACGCATTTAGACGCATACAGTCACGCACGCTACCACTATTCACTTGCCGTTCTGAAATATGTCATGGTGGAAAAATAAAAAAAAGCCACTTTTCTCGCGTTACCTCTCTTTGGTCGTGAGAACTAATCGAACGGTTACTGCGGTTAAAAAACGGCCGGCCGTTTCAGGAAATTTCGTCTCCTCGCGTCTCCCGCTCACGTTTTCTTTTACCCTTACGCTCTTAATACATTGAGAAATGTTAGCAAAACATAAAAAAATTTATATATGCCCGGTATGAAATCGTCACGATTCGCACGGTGTCATTGATAAATTCTCTTTTTTTTCTCTCTACGTTTATATATATAATGATATCATCCTCGTAGTGAATTTGATCGTATCAAGCAAAGTTGTAGGATCGCCCCGAGATGGAAGGAGTGAATTTATGACTGGCAAACCTTGCTAAAATGGTTCATAATGTTTCTGCGAGAATCAATCATTTTGCAAGAATTACACTACTAAAAATTTATTTGGTTTCCTAATCTCCCCGAATGCAGCTCCAGGCCTTCAAGATTAGAAGCTCGATTCGCATACATTTTTTTAAGTTACAATTTCATCTAAAGGCTAGAATCTCCGTTAAAAAGGATTCTAATAGTTCTTGAATCGCTCATTTCTGCAGGTACATTTTTTTTTTAATTTTCGTGACTATCCCCTCATGAGAACGTTATAGAAATTGTTTCGTAAACTTTCTATTCAATTTCGCTACCATAAAACGGCAGATTTTGTTTACGCGTTTAAAGCTTTCATTTCATGATTACACGATTTATCGAGCATCATTATCAAATGTATTCTGACTAGACGTTGAAAAGGTTTTTTTTTTTTCTTCTATATTGCAACGCGACAGCGAAATTATTGTATAAATGTTTGTTACATAAAGGTTGACGTCACACGAATTACAAACAGGATATCCCCGTTACGTAAGCATAGGCAGCCTTTTTTTCCAAGGGTCTGAATAAAAAGTCCAGGAATTCAGTGAGAATGGAAGGATTTTTATGCATTTACGCGCACAAAATTAGGAAAAGAATGGGCGAAGTTGTAATGACGCTGCGCTATCTCACACGCATAAAAATAAAAATAAAATATATATATATATATACATATATGAAACGAAAAAAGGTGAAAGAAAAAAAATAACAAAAAAGAAATATGAAAAAGATGAAAAAATTGTAGAACAATTAAAATCGCAACACTAGAAAATGCTAGAGAACAAAATAATTATGAAAATCTCTTCAACTTGGAAATTCTTTGATATTGACAATTTTGTGATCGTCACTTTTACGCTGTTAATGAGATTTATCATCGGTAACGGCGGGCGTTAGCCAGAAACGACCAAGGAGTGGCTTTTGAAAATTATATGAATATAATTTGTGCACTTAAGAAATATGTATGTATACGGTGTGCAACATTTAAGATCTTTCTTTTCCACTCTAATGGCGCGTTCTATTTAAAGCGCACAAAACAAGACTCATCTAAGTTAATTACGAAATTGTTCATCGCGCAATGTTGCGACAAAATTATATATATATGTTCTTCGCATTTCATGAATAATTCAGAGATGGAAAGTTTCGCGATATTGTTCCGTTGTTTCAGCTCCATTTTAAAGAGTGTGACTCGTAGACATCTGTTAAGGTCATTGGCCGCGTTCAGCAGAAAAAGCTGCTCAATAATTTTTTAATATGATTTGGTTCTTGCCTTTAGAAAGTTCTTTTTCAGGAACTGGAGGAATACCGTCTTGAATTCTTTGACGAAAATCCGACGACCGTGATACAGACGACTAAGTTTCTAGCATTAAGCCCTTTACACGATGCGAGGCGATAGTGACATAGCGACAAAACTACAGCATTGATACACGGCATTGATACACTTCCGAAAATTTTGTCGCTGTTGCTAACGCTATCGCTATCGCCTCGCATTGCGTAAGGGGCTTTAGATGCAGATTTAAGTACGTGATTCTGGTTTAAGAGTAATACATTTTGATAGTAAATAATCGGTTAATGTTTCTACGCGAGTATTCACGGTATAATGTGTAGTCTAATAAGATAGAATTTTTAAATTTATTTTCATATACATTTTCGCATACAAGCGTCATAGACTACGTTTACATAGCGGCTTATAATCCGGTTTAATAACTACCGTATATCGTATATCTATTCTATCCAAAATTTTTCTTCTTTTGATTATAACGATTATTTAAATAATGACCCTATTTTGATACTCTAAACATTTGAATCAATCTTTGATATATATACACATATAGTATATATAGTATATATATATAGTATATATAATATATATAGTATATATATAGTATATATATGTATATACTAAGTTCAAGTATCAAAATAGACTCATATCTAAATGATGAATGATCAAAAGAAAAAAAAATTGCGTTGGATAGGGTAGTTATCAAACTGGATTGTAAGCGGCTGTGTAAACATAATCTAATAATGACGCTGTATGCAACTGAGAACAATTTTATTTAAATTATGAATTCTAATAAACTGTTTTTTTTTTAAATTAAAAAGCGATTTGGTATCCAATATATCTGAAGACAGAATTCATAAATTTGATATTGCATTCAAGATCAATTTTCTTAAATGGTTGCGCTCCTTTTGGTACGTTGCACAGCTACTCACAGCGAGATTGCTCGGAGTTTTTCCAAGGATCTCTAAGTGTATGAACCAATCATGTCAAAGAACCACTAGGTGTTTACTAAGCTGCTTTTTCGGCCGAACGCAGCCAGTGGCACTTAAGTAATAAGCAAACCAATTACAGTCGGTTCTCTTCCGATTCGCTCATCACTTAGGTTTTTTTTACGTCTTACGCGATAACGTCGGTTACATCAGGAGCTCGAGTAAATTACATGTTCTGATGTCTGGCGCTTTATCACGCTTCGCGAAGCGAGCTTTCGCAACGTGTCGCAGGACGTTCCTCTGTTGATGGCACGTCGTGTCGGAACGATGCCGCATTAGTCTTACATTGAATCACGCTGACAAAAGCGACGTTGAAACGTATACAGAATTCTTTTTTCTCCCGCATTCCCGCGTGTATTTTTCTTTCACACACGGCAGATTCGCGCTGCACGAATTCGCGAGCCGACTTCGACAGTCGGCAGTCGAACTATAACGCAACCATACACGCGAGCACACACGCAAAGACACACACACACACACACATACATGAAAACACGCATACACGCGTACGAGTCAACGGAAATGAGATAACGAAAGGAAAAAAAAAACGAAAAAAGAAATCAATCGCTACGGATCACACCTTTTGTAATAAATTCATCGTTCATCAAACATTCGAATTAGAACGAACCCCGCATTCCCGGCGCGCGCGCGCGCGCTTAGCGCCGCCCGAAACTCCGGAGTAATTTTGGAGTAATTTTGTTCGCTTCGTTAACGATCGCGAGTTTCAAATCTAAATCTTGCGATTCGACTCGAGAACCGGGGCGCGGCTTGAACGTTTGGCGCGCCGAGATGCGCCGGAAATGCGGGCTGATTGACGCGCTATACCATACTGTTGTTGAAGGATTCACCCGTCGAAGGACCACAAGAAAAAAAAAAACAAGAAAATGAAGCACAGGTCAGGTTCCTCGACACACCTGTTCCTAAGTGCGCCAGTAAAGAGGATCAATAATACGCGATACTTTTTGAGAGCAACAGGTTACATCTTCGGCACATACTTTTTTATTTTTTCCTCCACCTCGCTTAATCTCGCGGCGGTTCGGTTCGATTATATCTTAGTGGCTCGTTTTCCTTAGTTCGGCGGCCTTTTATGTTGTAATCGCGCGCTAATTACCTAGAATAATATTGCGAGTTCAGACGGGACGCGGGGGAAGGGGAGGGGGGAGGAGGAGAGGGAGGGAAGGGGAAGAGGGGTAAAACAAACGCAGGGGCAAATCGAAACGCTGAAAGTGGGCTGAACAATTTGATCGTTCGTCCATTATAATGCCGTAGGTTTCGCACAACGACGGGGATTGTTCGATCGAAACGGCCGAGATTTTGCCGTTACAAGCTAATACAAATGCCCTACAACTTAATCAGCTTTATGTATACAGTTAATTAAAAATTATTATTTGTTGGATTATAAAAGTACGTTTAAATTAAAAGTGTTATATTTGCAGTCTCATTCCAGGATTTTAAGACTGTTTACAAGCGGACATAATCCATGTCCACGTGTATGAAGAAATTCGTACGAATTCTTTCTCCCACCTTAAACGAAAGTTCCTTTCATTTGTGGATTTCATTATTTCCTACGAGTTTTGTTTATCGATATATTTAATATAACGAATTTAATTCAACACGTTTTAACTCATCGCTATATATGTATACGCGGAGAATTGCTGAACACTTCGGACTTAAATACTGTCTTGCTAACGAATATTAACGCAATTAAAGGGGAATAGAGATATTTGTTTTTAAATAAAACATTTAAGATGTCTGGAACTATATGTAATCGCATTACACTGCCTTGCAA